CGATCTATGCAAACGACCTTTCCTATAAATAAACCAAACCCCATAGCACAGTGCCTTGTATTAGTGTTAACATGTTCGCCTGTGTTTAGATGCCAAGGTTTCCATTTTCAGGGCTATAAAAAGTATTATGTGGAAATGAGGCATCGGACCACCAGACGTTACCACTTGGTTGAATGTGCCCACTGTGGGTGGTTTTGGTGATGCGGTAACCATTCCATGCCCTGTGGCCTCTGCGGGGGTCACAGCCACTCAGGATGTAAGGATTGGGAAGTGATGCTGCAGCCTCCGCGCGGGAACAGCCTGATACCGAAATAGTGTCTACTCATGCACTGAATTAAACAGAAACTTGATCATTATATTCCTGATTAAATTTTATCACTCTTGCTGAGACAATATAGTTTGAAATCTAAGAAAGCTTAATTTACTTTAAATACTGTGAACTCTAATGATGTGGAAAATATTTTTCAACTTTAATTTTCTGAAATATAAATTATTTATGTAAATTCCTTGTTTTTGCATATTTCATAGGACATGCATCTTTAAGCTTTACCATTGCCAATATGTACAGAAAGAATAAAAATATAAGTTTATGAACGTAACTTCTCTCAGAGCTTGACTGATTCGCTTTCTACATGAAAGGTTGCCTACAACACCAGAGTGCCCTTCTGCGGCAGCGGGAGAAACCAAGGGCAGGGTGGGGAAGGGGCGCGCTCGGGAGGCCCCGGAGCCTGGTCTGGTCTCGGCCGCTGACGTGCTCTGTGACTCTGAACATCCACCCGCTGCGCCTGGGCGCAGTTTCCCCCATGGCCAGACTGGATGATCTCTGCGGGTACTAGAGGCTTCCCGCTCACCTAATGGAGTAGAAGCCTCAGGGGTAACTTAGGAGTAAAGAAGATGCACAGGTATCAGATATCAACAGCAGGCCCCTCCCGCTCCAGAAGCACCTGTCAGAGCTACTTGCTCAGTCTCAATTTTTCTTTTTAATCCTCATCCAAGGATATGTTCTTACTGATTTTAGAAAGAGGAAGGGGGAGAGAGAAAGAGAGACAGACAGAAGCATTGATGTGAGAGAGAGAACATCAATCGCTTGCCTCCCCTATGTGCCCCAACCCAGAGTCGAACCTGCAGCCTTTGGGTATACAGGATGACACTCCGACCACTTGAGCCACCTGGTCAGGGCTCAGCCTCAGAGTTGAAGTATGAAATTTATGTTAAAAGTTGGAAACAATAAGGTCATGGATACTAAATCCCTGGGTTAGGGAGTACTACTGGGAAAATCTCTCCCCTGGAAAGAATCACACAGGCTGCAGGGGCCTTGATTTCTCAAGAAGCAGGTCTTCTCGAGAAGCTGGAAGAACAGGATCCTAACCACCGGGCAAAGAGCAGGGAAGCACAACTCAGAATGTGCCAACCTTTAAAAAGCCATCCCTTCATCATTCCAGGTATTGATCCTGGGCTCTGATTGGTTAAAATAGAGACATAAAAGAAACATGCCCCAACGTTGAAGGAAGAGACACCACTCAATATCTGAAACCAAAACAATTATAAACATACTGCTTAAGTAAGGGCAAGTTTGGCTGCTCAGGCACAGCCTGGCTGAGCAAAGGAAGCTGCTGATACATACGGTCCCGGGAAGCAAGCTTGGTATGTAAAGGTATTGTTGGTTATGGAGGCAGGCAGAGGTGGGTTGGCATGTAGGTAAGGGGGAAACGGGATTGATTCCTGTCACCAGGAAGGTCCCAGACACAAACTAAACCTCTGCACCACCTAAAAGCTTTAGTTGTAGAAGAAACTTAAGTCTGGTGATTACAATCCCCAACAGTAGCGCGTTGCTGCCCTCTGGTGGCCACCCAGTGCTGTGCCATCGTGGAAAAGCTTTGACAATTTAGGAAAAACTTTTTTCATTATACAAGTTACCCCGCTACATTGTAAACAACTGCGAAAACGTAAAATAAAAGGATAAAAAGCACATCACCTGAATACCCTTGACACTGCTTGAGCTTCCAGTCTCACCCCTGCGTTACACCTGTGCATTGATTCAAGCACGTATCTGCAGAGAGCCTGCCGTGGCCCAGGCACTGTTCTGGGCTGCAAAGGCAACAGATAAAAACCACTGGATTTGTGCCCCTTACCTTCCGGCTGTCGTCGCTCTGTATTGATCCTGATTGCTTCACTTTTACCATAACCTATGTTGCCACGTGCTCTTCATGAAAGTCACTGCTGATGTGTCAAGTGATGTGAAGATGATGTATCACAGTGATGTTTACCGTCTCCATGTCCTCGACCGTGGACGCCTGAGTGCTCCCGGCCTGAAAAGCCAGGGCGCGTGACTTCTACCCAAATACCCTGCCTTCTTCACTCAACGACAACCACCTGTGGTTATTAGAGTCTAGCAACCGCGGATACAGCAGCAAGAAAGGCAGGCAGACCCCCGGGCCTCCTGTGGGAAGGCAGCGTGAAATGCATCATCACACCACTAGTTCTAACTCCGTTGTCATACACGGAAGCATCAGACAGGCGCCCCGACTTTACCTGACTTCATCGGAGGGGCCCACTTCCCCGGGGAGGTCCCTGCAAACTCAGAGCTCAAGGAGCGCGTGCCTGGGCCGCTCGGGGAGGCCGAGGGCGCGGGAGCCCAGGCCGCGCAGGGCTTTGCGGGCGGGTTTATCCTCAGGCAACGCGGAGCCCCTGCGAGGCTTGAACGTTCCGAGCAAGGCTGGCCCTTTAGGAAGATCCCCTGTAACAAGCAGAACCGAAGAAGAGCCCGTTCTTAAGAGGAGCATGAAGGACAAACTAATTGAAAGCCACTTATCAAGAAAGATAATATGTATCTAAAGAAAATGTGTCAACTTTGAGGGACAGAAAAGAAGGCTCGAATAAATGGGAAAACCCATTTTGTTTTGAATGAAAATGTATTGTAAAAATGTGAAGTTTCCTTAAACTTCTCTATACAATTGCCACATACGTATCATAAAACCTTTGGAATTGGGACGCTCAGTATCGCCGCCCCCATAACACGTACAGTGTGAATGAATTGCTGCTGAGCCCCCACCCGCGTGGCCCAGGTAACTGGGCGTCGCTCTGCAAAGCCAAGGCCCCAGTTCGATTCGCGGTCAGGGCACAGGCCTGGTTGCGTGTTCGGTCCCCAGCTGGGGAGGTGGGTACATCAATGTTTCTCTCCCTCTCTTTCCTTCTCTCTAAAAATAAATATTTTTTTAAAATTATTTTTGAAGTTATGTGTTTCAGGCTGCTTATTCCACTACACTGATAAGAAAACACTAAATTCATCTGTAAAATAAATCCATTTATGTGGCGAAATAGAAACAGGCATTTTGCCAAGCATCTCAGAAAAATCCGTTCTCTATTAACATTATTAGCAAATGGTATCTGTATACTATTGGCCATGTGTAAAGATTTTCAAACCAACTTTCTTGCTGTTTCAGGAAATACAGTTCTTGTCTTTGACGGTTTCTTCTTCGAGATTTTGCCAGGCAGCAGAAGACCGACGTGAACGGCTGCTGGCGGCGCTTTGAAATAAAACCTCCGCCTTCTGCGCGACCCCCGCAAACGCTGCGTCTGGCTCCCTTCCTGCCACCGCGGCCAGAGGGGCCGCAAAGGAAGCGCCGGGCGCTTCCCCGCAGCCGGGCGGCTCCCGGCGTCGCGCCGACCACGCGCTGCGCTCTCGCTGCGGGCGGACGAGCGCGCGGCCGGACCCTGAGCTCAGCGCCGGCGACGGGCGCTGCGGCGGCTGCCCGGATCCCCGCGGCCACGGGGGCCGCACCCTCGGCCGGACTGACTCCGCGCCTGCCTCACGCAGCGGGTTCTTCGAGCGCCTCGCCTGAGCCAGGCGCTGTTCTACGCGGGGGCACAGCAGATAAGACCAGATGGTCCCCCATCTTCAGGGACTTAGGTTCCGCCCCCAAACGCCACTTGATTCGCCTCCGGGAAAGCGACGCGGGCTCCGGGCTGAAAGGCTCCCCGGAGCCCCACGGAGTCCGCAGGGGAGACTGAGCCGAAGGGCGACGCCTCCGGCCTCGAGAGCCGCGCCGGCGGGACCGAGGGCTCCCCGGGCCCGCGCCGCGCCTCCGCGGGGACCGTCCCCGGCCGGCCGCCCCCTCGGGCCCGGAGCGTCCGGCGAACCTGGGCTCCGGGGCGGCTGGGCGCCCGTGGCCGGGCTCGGCCGGGGATGTGCCGCGGAAGCCGGCGGGTCGGGACCAGGGCTCGGAGGAGGAGAAAGGCGCACCATTTAAAGCGCAAAGGAAGGCCCCGGCCCGCGTGGCTCGGGGGTTGGGGCGCGTCTGGAAACCGAAAGGGGGGGTTTGGTGGCGGTGCGGCCCCTGGTCCGGCGCCCCCGGGAGGCCGCCGATCCCTGTTTCTCTATCACGTGGACGTTTTTCTTTCTCCCTTCCTGGCTCTCTGAAATCAGTGACGGTGTCCTTGGGTGAGGATTAAAAAATAATAATAAAGAAAACAAAGCGCCGTGTAAAGCGAGCCCCCTGCCCTCCACCCCCGCCCGCGCGCACGTGGGGCCGCGCCCGCCCGACCCAGCGCCGCCCTAGGGTTTGCTGCTTTTCTTTCACTAAACGGAGGCCTCGCGCAGTAGCGCCAAAGAGAACTTGCCGTTCGTCTGTAAGAACTAAGGGCCCCAGCAGAGGCGAGGGATGGTGTTTAGCGCCGCCTTTGCGTAAGGAAACGAAGCGCTGCCGCTCCCGCTCGAGGCCCTGCGGCGGCCTCGGGCCCGGACCCGCGCTCGGCAGGAGCCGAGGGCGGCGCCCGGAATCGGACTCGGCAGCGGGGCGATCGCGCTGGAGGTGAGTTTTTGCATTTTCTGAAGACTGTTGGGAAGACCTGGGGAGAACACGTGGGTGGGGATGTTCAGGGTGCCTGTCAACATAAGGAATGTCCAAACCTGCAGAGAATTTTTATGAGTTTATTTGAGCCAAACTGAGGACAGTTGCCTGGAGGTGAAACCTCAGGGAATTAAGACAACGCTCCAGAGAACGGCGGTTTTGCGCCTTCTTTTATACATTACAATCAAAAGGGAAGCTGAGTGAGTGCGCTACAGGAAATCCATTGATAAAGGAGGCGGGGGAAAGCAAAAGGGGGCAAGCTCTGGGATTGGCCGAGAGGTAAACGATAGGCACGTACTTCTTTTCCGCAGGTGAATACGGGGTGTTTCACAGTCAACAGTTAACGGAATAGTAACAATGAGGGGATTTCTGATGCCTGTGCTTTGAGGGGACTGCGGAAAGGGAAGCTACTTTGTTTTTGTAAAGGCATGGTTCTCAGGTATATTATCCTAGACGTGAAAGGACAACAGACAGGCTGGGCTGAGGGGAGGACTGACCTTTGTTGGGGAAAGGCGCTGCCTTAGCACGTGACTCCCCGCCATGAACTGCCTTTAGTTAAACATTTTCAATTTTAGACCATCTTATGGGGTTACTTTAGGCCCTGGAGTTTGTAAGGCCGCCACACGGGCCCCCCACCCCGGCCTTGTCAGGTTTAGTGTGTGGCCCCTTCTGGTCCACATAACCAAGGGGAGCACAGCTTAAACTAGGGAAGACCCGATGAGTTGAGACAGGTGCTCCGTAAGGCAGCCATTGATATTTCTATTGTACCTTAGCCTCTGGGGGAAATACATTCTCAACAACTGTCAGTCCACGGTGTTGTGGTTTCTTAATTATCACACAGACAGTGAACTCAAAAATTAAGTGGTTTCTTGCAGATGCTTTTCTTAGATACAGACAGGTCCGGGTGCCGTCCTTGGTCCTCGCCCCGAATGACTGCTGCTGGCACATGGCTTCCTCCGGAGCAACCTTCTTTTGGGTCCCCTTGTACCGTCAGGGATCAGGGTGTGTGCGCCCTGGGTGCCGAAGCCTCCTGAGGGCTGACAGGGGAGAGGGGTTACGTGCGGCGCAGGGAGGAGGGCTCAGGAGCAGGAGCAGCTCCTGGGCGAAGCCAAGCCGGGCTGGCGCCCTGGGGCGCAAGCCTCCCCACTGAGCTGAGTGGCTCAGGCAGCAGGCAGGGCCCCCCGCCCCCCCCCCCCGGCCCTGCCTCAGCCTCTCCTCACCCTGCCTGGGGTCAGAAACGTCCAGAGGGCCTGGGGACTCCCATCGGTCCTGCCTTCGGACGTCCGTGTCTGCAGCACTAACTTACGCTAGGATTGTTGTGGTTTAGAAAACACGAGGTTCCTTTCTTCCCTTCTGTTTTCCAACCTCTAAATGCCTGTTTCACCTGATGGATGACCTCCTCACCTCACTGAGAGGATGAAGTGAATTACCTGCCGTCACAAAGTTCAGCAGGCCAGCCTCGCCGGTGCCGGGGCACGGCACCTGCCTTCCTCTTAGTGGGTGGGTCGTCCTGCCCTCCGTTCGAGGCCCGCAATCCCGCCTCCTCACACGTGAAGGGGGTCGGTTGGGGGCGGGGGGTGGGTAGATGAGAAGTCAGGGCTTCTCTGAGGCAATGCTGTGCGTGCAGAGGTCTGAGTGAGCCGAGGGCGTGAGATGCAGGGAAAGAGTGTCCCGCGCAGAGGGACTGGCAGAGGCAATGCCCAAGGCGGGAGTGAGGTTGGCAGGTTCAGAAAACAAGAAAAGGCAGGTGAGGCTGGACCACAGGGAGGAGGAGAGAAAGGCAGGAGCTGAGGTCGCAGAAGAGGCAGGCGTCCAATCGTACGAGGAGAGAGAAACCCAGGAATTGAATTGCTGGGTGGCATGGTAATTTAATGTCGAACCTTTTGCGAAACCACCTAACTGTTTCCCAAAGTTACTGCATTATTTTACATTCCCTCCAGCAACATCCAGGGATCCCATACCTTTAAGCACAGAGTTAACAGGCTCTGTAACTATGTGGAGAAATCGCTTACGTTTAAGTCCATACCTAGTTTCTGGAGATGATTCCCCATGTTACGTTCACTTCTCACTTCTCTGCTTACAACACCTCTTCACTCTGGGTACAACACCATAACAGCTGCCACCCCCCAGAACTAGTCCCAAATTACATTTTTACTGCTCCAATTCAATTAAAATCACTTTTAAATAATATGAGTTGTTAACAGCTTTTTTCTATGTGCTCATTATTTCCAAATGTGTTAGCTATTTGCTCTTGAAAAGCAGAAAGAGCTAATGAAAGCTGCCACCTCGCCCAGACGCAGTGGGGCGAGGAAGGGGGAGGGGAAGGGGGCAGGGAAGGGGGGAAGGGGAGGTGCCAGGCGCCCACAGGAGCCCGGCACAGGCCTGGCCTCCAACGCCTGCGGCTTCACGGGCAGGCAAAGGGCAGAAACACAGCCACGCATCTTAAATAAAAGAAGAGCAAAAATCACGGAATAACAGGCTTACTTGCAAATGGCAGCTTTTTCTTCTTCCTGGGATGCCAGAAGATGAGGAGCTTTGGCTGGGAGTTTCGAATCAAAACTGCTAACATTGAAATTCACTTTCACTTTTAACCTGTAACAAGATAACACATGTGAGGATGTTTGGAAAACAACACCAGGTTATATACTCTTTCAGAAATTATTGTTATATGTGGACTGCTTCGTACATGGTCTAAAGTACCATTACTTCAGACTTGTGTGAACTGGGCATGCGAGAGCTGCTGAGACCGTGACGGAGACTGCCTTACTAATTACTGAGACCCAGGCTCAGCGGGGTAAATTTTAAAGCATCCCATATCCATGGGAGTGCATGCACTAATGTTAAAAGAAGCCATAGAGACTGTGTCATTTACAGGCATAAATATAAAATGTGTTTCCAAGAGAGAGTGCAGACTGTCCACTCGCCAGGCGCCCTTCGGTCCCCGCAGGCTCGCCCCTACTCGGCTGATCAGAACACTGGCACTGGCCCCTGACGGGCACCATCGCAGGGCTGTGCTGTCCTGGGGCCCACGGTGGGCAGCACCTTCCCGACGCTGCCGCTTCCTGATCACAGCAACGCATCCCTCTGCCTGCCAGCTCTGCACTGTGGTTCTGAGCGTTGTTCCTGACAATGAGCCTGTTTCTCAAGCCCTCCCAATACTTTCTGTGAGCAGTAGAAGTCATCAAAAAATGAGTCCTTTTCTAGTATGGCTTCAGTTGTCTGAAACCAAGGGCCCCGACTGTTCTTCTAACTAATGCTCTCAGGAATCCATGGAAAGAATCAGTCTAATCCAACTTAATCAAAATGAGTTTTCCTAGAAAATGTGGGTTCGAAATGTGTTTTGAGTAAAAGAAAAGGGTATAGCAAACATCTAGATTAGTGTATAAAGCATAATTAATGACAAAAGGGTTTCCTGTGCTAATGTCTGAGAAGAGCATTCAATAAAAAAATCACAAGACATGTCAAAAAATCAAGACAAAATAACCTCAAAACCTGTCATTCAATCAAAAATTACAAGACATACAAAAAAAAGACAAGATAAAATAATCCACTGTCAGAGATAAAACAATCAACAGAACCAGATTCAAAAATGATCCTAATATTGGAACCAATAGGCAATTTAAAATAACTATGAATAATGTGTTAACCCTATGGAAAGGTGAATAACATGTATGACAGAGAATTTCAGGAAAAATGGAAACTATATAAGAAATTAAATGGAAATACTAGAAATAAAAATAATCACATCAGGGAGGAAAAATTCTTCTGATAGGCTCTTCAGTAGATGGGACACAGTTTAGGACTCAGTGAACTTAATCATAGCCAGTAGAAATTGTCTAATTGAAATAGTAGTGGGGGGGGGGTAACAACACAGTATCTAAGAACTAAGTAGCTATGGGACAATATCAAATGGTCTAACTCATAACTGGAATCTTAGAAGAAAGAATAGGATATAAGAAATATTTGAAGTGATAATGGCCTAGAATATTTTTTAAAAAATAATAATGAAAGACATCAAACCACAGATACAAGAACCTCTGAGCCTTAAGTAGATAAACAGGGAGAAAGGGGAACAAAACACCTAGACACATCATAGCCTAGCTAATGAAAACCAAAGACAGAGAAAATCTTGAAAGTACACAAGAAAAAAAGAAACATCACACACAGAGAAACAAAGAATTACAGATTTCTCATCAAAAACTGAAATCTAGAAAATAATAACTATGACCAAATTTACATCAGTGTCTCAAGAAAAAGTTTTCCAATTCCAATGGGTTCCATAATTTCTACAGTATTAACCATTACCTGCTCCTTTTACAAAATTCACTTTCTATGTAGCTTGTAGGCAGCCTAAGCCACTCATTTGGAGTCACAAAGCGCCTTGAAGTAGAAATTCTTGGGAATCTGGAATGCAGTTTGGCCTTCTCAACCTCTTTAAATTCTTTCATGGTATGTATTTTCCCTGCAAGAAGATTAGTGATACAAATTAGCACAGTTGAACTGCAACTCCCATTGCTCTTGGGCCATGGAATCGTGAAACAATTAGAAACAAAGTACCAGTCTCACACTGAAGAAGAATTCTTTTTTCCTCATCTTTGTGGTACTGTGCCTTTTTCAAAGGGTCACAAAATGGTGGGATGGTGACCTACAAGAAAAGCATTTCTTTAAGGACTGAATTTCAGGTCTTTTTCAGTCTGTCCTAAACATCCATTTATGGCTCTTATGCTAGAAGAATCGAGAACACAGTATCTACAAACTAATGACAGTCTAACCGTTGTATATATTTAACACATAATACAGAGGTGGGGGCACTCCAGTGCATCTCTCAGCAAGGCCTTCCAGCCGTGGTCAGCTCTTGTTTTAATAGCCTCTGCAGATCATAGTGGATACTCTTAGATACTACACCCAGACTCAGCCAGTGGTAGTTCCCTCAAGATTAGTTATGATGTGGACTCTGAAGCCATATCAATGAATCATTCAAACCCTGCTACACTAAAATCCATTGGTCTGTCTTGAACTTTGATGTGGATCGTTTATCCACATCATGGATCGGTTGTTTGGAAAAAATCAGACCTGAGTAGTGTGAGATCTTCCAAATGTTAATATCTTTCATTACACAGTAACCACATTTATTATCTTATTACCAGTCTCATCAGTAAAGTCTCTGAGTATTGGAGTGCTGTCACTTGCAATGTGATTTTTCCGAAATGCAAATATTTGCTTAAAAGCTCACATTTTATCATTGGCAACAAATATCGTCTGCTGTTGTTCTTGGAGTGACAGACTCACTTTGATAACTTTCCAGAAAATGTCTGCCAAATACCCAAGATTTAATAATCAGAGGTTTGAAATCATTCTTTCAAGTAAATAATGGTGTCCCATGAGAAACGCAAGCCAGGCACCGCCCCCCCCCCCCCCCCCCCCCCTGCTCCCCGCTCACAGTGCAGACAAGCGCACAGTATTTCAGATGCGGCAGAAGCGCTCTCGGCTCGCTTCCCATTCATCACACAACAAGAAAAGAGGTGTGCTCAAGGATCAAGATTTAATAAAATCAGTAATTTTTACTGTTTGATGAGATATTCTTGGGAGAAGCGAGTTACCTTTCTCACCGCGAGCGCGTGGCCCTGGCGCCTGTTGTGACTCGCAGCGCCACCTCGCGGCGCTGACCTGAGCTGCTCTACGGCGCCCGCACACTCGCGCGCCGCTGCCTGGGCGCCGTCAGAACGAAGAAGGCAAACAGCTTCGGAGCGGTTATGAAAATATGTGGCCTAAGGGACCCCTGAAAAGGTTTCGGAGCTCAAGCGTCCGCGTGCTGCAGGCTGAGAGCTGCTGCTCTGACCTCCAGGGCTCGGCTCGCCTCGAGGCCGCCTACCGGCCCCATTTGGAACGGCAGCGTGGCGGAGAACAGAGAGGAATTTTGGTGTCAAAAAGATGTGGTTTCAAATCCCGATGCGGCCCCTCACTAGCTGCGTTACTGGTTCCTGTATCTAAGGCTCTTACTCTAAACCCTCAGTTTAACTCTCACCATAAAAATAGGCACAATAGCGCACACACACACACACACCCCCCAACTTGGGAAGAGGAAAAGGGACCTGCTTTGCATGCAAATGCCAGCGGTTTAAAATGTCTACGACCAGGGCAGGTGTTTTGTTTTACTGTGTTTAATAATATCCACTGTTAGCAAAAGTATGGAAAATGGGCTCTCTGCTGGGCGGTGCAGATTTACACATCCTGGAGAACAATTTGGTAAAATGAATCAACATCATGTGTAACCTTGAACTTGGCAATTCTACTTCTAGCAACTTACTGAAAAAATTAAGAAATAAATAGTTAAGGGATGTTCATCACAATGTCACATATAACAGCAATAGGTCAAAAACAATTTGGTGTTCAGAAGGGAATATGTCAAAACAATGATGGCTTAGCACAGCACCACGTATGGTCAGAAGTACGCCTATGCTCTGCCATTTGCACTATGTGACCCTGGACAAGTAATTTAACCTGCCTGTGCCTCACTTGTCTCATCTGTAAGTCACCTGACATGGCAGCAGTGAAGGTGAAATGAAATGAAAGAAAAAAAAAAGCCCTAACATCTGGTTAATCCATCAGTGCACATTAGCTGCTACTAGTAACAGTACCATGCAATTATTAAAATGATATATTGACGTTTGTTGACAAAGAAAGAAGCAAATCATAAACTATTAAGGGAAAAAGCAGACTATATAACCTAATGTATGGTAGAAACCTATTCTTGTAAAATGAAAATGTGTATTTATACCTATATATACAAAGAAGTCTTGATGGATATACAGAAAAATGTTAATGAACTCATCCTAGGTAATGGAACTGAGTGGTTTTTAAATTATTTAACAATTGATTTTATCATGAACATGTATTATTTTTGCAACGAATTTAAAAGCCTATGAAAATTAAATTTAAACATTACCTATTACCCAATATTTTCAAATTTTACAGAGGTTTAATTTAATTTGGTCTTTGGCTCTCTGGTTCCTTTCTAAGACATGGAGATAGAAAACTATTCTTAAGATGTTACCACATTCTTAGGACATTACTAGAGGACAACTCACATAGTAGGGCTGCTCAAAAAAACCAACTGCATAATATCAAAGTTAAAATAAGAAATCTACCCTACCTTCAGAAAATTCAGGTCCTCTTTGCTCATGTGAAAAGGATCATACTCTTTCGGATCATAATGCTCTAAAAATACATTTCCCTGTTGCAGGAAATAAGCCACACGTAAGAACAAGACAGGCAGCCAGTATTGAGCATAACAGAACTTCAGAGTCAAACCCGCAGACCCATCCCCGTGCGTCTAAAGGGCATCAGTAACAAATGCAAAAGGGAAGGGGAGACCAAAGTGGAAATTAAATTTAATGCATTGAAGTAATAAACATTAGTGATAGAAAAAAAATCGACTTAAAATTTAAAATTTGCAAGATTGTAATAAAGAATGTGGGAACACTAAAACATTTGGGAATTTGTTTTTAAATGCCTATTAGTCAAACATCTCAGATCTCTTAAAAATGCCAAGAGAACAGAAATGTTTTATAGCTTTGTAAATAATTGAGTTCCAGAGCATATGATACACACATGCACACTCAGGGTCCGGCAGAAGTAAGGCCTGCTCGAGTGTGGTTGGTAGCCTAGTAATATGGGTGTAATAATTTATAGTTTTTATTTGAACATTTCACCTAACAGGTCATATGGTGTGCATGAGTATGATATTGTTATGTTACAGAATTATGTGCTTATGATTTTGTAATAAAAAGAGGCGTTATTTGTGCCAGACCCTTCATTTATCTCCTGAACCTGGAGTCCAACATTTTAAAATTGGTGTATAAAAGTAATAATTACATGGGAACAACAAAGAAAACTGATTCCAATGTACACATTTAAATCCAGAACCAGCCCTGCCCCCTCCACCCATCCCCCTTGCACTGGGTTTAAGGGTAGCGGGTGCCGTGACTGGGTAGAGGCCGCTCATACATGGGGTGGGGAGGGGCAGGCCGCTCGGATGATTAAACAGAAAGACAACCATAGTTTCAAACTGACTGAAAAAAATCAAATGACCTCTGAGTACCTTTTGATTTACATATTTTAAAAAACGATCTAATTCCTCTTGTCTCCTTTTTTTAATCTTCTTATGTGAACAAACTTTTTCTCTAATTTTCTTCTGGAGAGGATCTGCCACATGGTCGACCCACCTTTTGTATAACAGCTCATTTCTCCTTGCATTTAAGAAGTCGTGGTGTTGTAAATACTTATCTAGTTCCTAGTAAACAGTGATAGAAAAGACAAGTGTATTATCTGAAATCTTTCTTGTTCTAAAATTTAAACTTCATTTACATCCCTAAGAATAACCCACCAAGTCATTCCTTAGTTCAGCCATTTACTTGGCTTCTACTGTGTGACACACACTAAACTGGGGAAAAGGGACACATGGGTAAATTAGACAACACGCCTGCTCTCCCTGGGGAGACAGAGTACAGAACAATCCACCAAACAACTGGAGGGACAATACAGCAAGATATAGAATTAAAAACAGGGACTCAAACAGACACTTGCACACCAGTGTTCACTGCAGCATTATTCACAACAGCCACAAGGTGGAATGGAAGCAGCCCAGTGTCCGACAGATGACTGTATAAACAGGATGTGGCACATACATGCAATGGAATAACACACAGCTGTACAAAAGGAATGAGGGTCTACTAGGTGCTACAGCATGAATGAAACTTGAAAGCGATAGGCTAAGGAGAGTAAGCCACAAAAGGACCGATATCATAGGGTTCTGCTTATGTAATAGAGGCAGAAAATGAATCAGAGGTTACCAGAGGCTTGGGGAGGGAAGAGGGGGAGTGTCTACTTAATCAGCACAAGGTTTCAGTCAGGGAAATGGAGAAGTTTCAGAAACAATGGTGATGGTTGTACAACATGTCAGTGTAATTCATGTCACTGAATTATTAAAAATTAAAATGGTTAAAAAGAGCAAATTTTATGTTCTACACTTTTTACCACAATGGATAAAACAATTACATTTTTACAAAAATAATCCCAAAGTGGGAGACACTTCAAATGGACCTTAAATAATGAAGAGTTATCTAGGAGAGAATAGGTGACAAAAAATGTGGAAGAAGAATATTCTATGGGGAAAAATAGAGATGAAAGCAAAGAGACAGAAGTGCAACACAACTTAGTCCAAAGGGTCTGCAAAGAAAATGCCTGATTTAGGCTATAAACTACATCATTCTCACCAAAACTTCTTATCAGCCTTTCATCTAGCAAATGAAATCACGTAATTATTAGGATAACATAAAAGTCAAAATGGGGAGGGGGAAGACCCCTAAAATCTTCCTACTTTGTGGGGATTATCCCTCCCTAACTTCAGATCACAGCACACTTCAACCAGTCTCAATGCACAGTTCTTTTCCTGTTTATACAACAAAAAAATTCTTAGAAACAAAAAGAGGTGAGCCCTGGCTGAGTAGCTCAGTTGGTTGGCGCATCATCCCGCACACCAAAAGGCTGCAGGTTCCGTCTCTACGCAGGGCACATATCTACGTTGTGTGTTCGAACTCCAGTCAGGGCACATACAGGAAGGCAACCCATTGATGTTTGTCTCTCACATTGATGTTTCTCTCCCTCTCTGATTAATGTTAAAATCATTAAACAGATCTTCAGATGAGAATTTAAAAAAAAAAAAAAACAGGTTACTTACTCCAGTGTTTAGTGCACTTCACAGGGAAATGCACCTAGTCTTATAATTAAACCCAGCCTGCTGTGGTTAAAGCCTTGTTCTTACCCAGGTGCACCTGAGTAATAATCAGATGCTGTGTTCCAATAACAGCTCTTAAAGCTCTTAACACTCAGAGTGACTCCATTAAAGCCCCACTAAGATGAAGGAACAAGTGAGAAGGAAAAAACTAATAATGTGTTTGTGAAAGAATCCTCACAAAGTATAGGAAAAGAGGAAGCAAATTAAAACAATCTCAGAGACCTCTTAAGCTTAATCCTAGGGGCAAATGATGGTTTTTCATTCTATTTTTTATATTTTCTAAAATTTTTATGATGAACAACATGTAAAATGAAAAATATTTAATTGAAACACATTGTATAGTCAATTCTTACCTTAATTATATAATTTTCTCTATATAATATTGACTTAATAGCCGCATTATTATCTTCTTTAGCTAATGCCTAAAATGACAGAATGAAATTTTGAGAAAGTCAAATCTTAAAAATCAAACTATTAATACTATCTGGACTTATATTTTAGGTGACAGCCATATCTCTTAAAAATTCTATGTAAATCCAGTTTTTATACCTATTGAAAGAGTATTTGAATCTTTCTGCTTTTAGCTAAGCTCATTCTAGGACAAAAAATAACTCACAGTAGGCATTTCAAGTCCTGACAAGAGCAAATGACTTTTCCCAAGCCACACAGTAGGTATAACCCATCTTTTCTCACATCTTATAAAATGCTTATACCTTTATGAGTTAGAATACAATCAGGCCTCTATTTGAATTCAGTTAGTCATTAGTGAATGCTGTTTGAACTCATTGTCATTATAGCTCTCAAATATAAACAATAAATGTTTTTATATGAGTCACATTTTCAGATTTTAAAGCAATACAATCTTCAGGAAATAGTCCATAATATTATTTTTCCATTTTCATAAAAATTCCCCACAATTAATTATCTAACAAAATATAAGAGGTTGATTTCTAGGACACACATGAATGTAATTAATGCCATTGAGTTGTACACTTAGAAATAGCAAATGTTATAAGAGACTATATGTGTGTGTGTATATATGTGTGTGCATATATAATATATAATGTTATATATTACATAATACATATATTATATATTACACATATATAATTACATATATAATATAAATATATAATAAATAAATATAATTATATATAATTACATATATATTACATAATATATAGTGTTATATATTATATAAATATATAATTATATATGTTTACAACAATGGAAAAATGATTTTTAAAAAGATATACTTATATATAACATTATAATGTTATCTATTACATAATATATAATGTTATATATTATATATAACTATATATTTTTTAATATAATTTACCACAATGGAAAAATGATTTTTTTTAAAGATTTTCAAAATGGGAGACATTTGGGATGGGTCTTTGAAATCCTCTCATAATTACACAAAAATAAAATATTCTCAAATTCGCTGTCATTGGAAGTAGTCTTCAGTTCTACTACCCTTGTTTCCAGAAGAGATGAGTATCATCTCAAAATCCAAGACTAAAACCTTCCCCATTAACACCCAAGAATATTAAGACTCATAGGAGTTAAGCAAAAACTAGAAGCCTAGAAAATCCTGCATGGAGCCAGAATTTAAACTCAAATGTGTCTAACTCTAAATCCATTTTCATTGTTCTTTCTGCCTCACAGAGTTGCTATTCCTGGCAAATATGCTGTCCTCAAAAACCAAGATGGGTACTGAATTAATATTCTACACAAAAATATAAAAACTAACAACCTGGAGACACTCAAGCCTGAAAAAAAGCAGGGAGAAACTAGAGGGGTGGTCAATACTTTGGTAAAAAGAACAGCACTGGGTAAGTTTTCAGTTTTGTATGGACTATTGTCTAAGAGCAGGCTTCAGGGCTAAAGGAATTGGCTCAAACTCAGAGAGACACACTTAGTTTTACAGATTCAAGAGTTAGAAGACAGTCCAGGGCAACCATAGCAGCTGGAAAGTGAGAGGAGAAATGCCTGAAAGAAGAAAGCCATAGTAGGCATGCCACAAATTGTGAAAACAAAATCTGACCAAATCTCTGGCAGATTCTTGAACTGTACCAGGCAGACTCTGTGCAGCCCACCTAAAGCTAAAAATTACTAAACTGTGATTTTCATCTGCTGTCAACTGCAGGAAAGACAAAGTTGAGGTCAGTCAAATTAACTACTAAAACAAAAGCTTAGTATTCTTCAGAGGAATATAACAGAATCCAGACCCTTTATAATGTATCATGCAGAATGTCTAAAATATAGTCTAGAATTACCATACACACACACACACACAACAGTAAAATGTGGCCTGTACTTTACAAGAAGGCAATCAATGGAGACCAACTCTGAGATGGCTCACATGTTGAAATTAGCAGATAAGGATTTTAGATCAACTATTACAGCTATTCTTTAGAAATTAAAGGAAATATCCTCATAATGAATGGATAGAAAATCTCAGCAAAGAAATATAGACAATAAAAAAAAAACAAGTGGAAAATATAATTTTTAAATTTAATAAACTTCAATGGGCTTAATAGCAGATTGGACATGACACAAGAAGAGTCAATGAACTTTAACACAGATCATTAGAAATTATCCAATCTGAAAAACAGAAAAAAGATTGGAAAATAAAGAACATAGCTGCAGCAATGACTTTTGAGACAACAGCAAAAGGTTCAACAAGTGGGAAACTGGAGTCCTAGAAGTGATTGATGAAAGAATGGAGCAGAAAAACTGAAGAAATGGCTGGGATAAGAACTTCCACTTACGGACAAGAGTAACAAAGAACTCTAAGAAAACAACTGAAACAACAGTTTTCAAGATGTTGGACATCAGGCAATGAAGGACAGTGGCCCCTGAGAAACAAAAAAACAAAGTGAGCCCTGTGATAGCTCAGTTTCATACTCAGAAAGAATTCCCTGACTGACACAGAGAGGTGGGTATCAGGTGGAACTCAGCCATCTCCCTGAAACAGGAGAAAAGTTAGGAGTCTGGGGGGAGGCCAGGGCAGCCACAGTTCATAGGGCTGAGCACCAGAGGGAGGAAAGTTACACAGAGAAAGAGCTTTGGGGATTTGCAGAAGGTTCCCTTTGATTCTTCAGCTGAATGCTGAATACCATATGCATGTGGAGAAACTACCCCATGAAACACATGGCCAAGAAGCCCCTGAAAGGATTAGGGGAAACAATCCCTAGAGGTCACACAGCCCCAGGAGTTACTCCGTTTACATCAGCCAGAGCAAAAAGCCTCATGGTTTACAAAGCAGAGTGGAGTATTGGCAGGGGTTTTGTGAAAGCAGTGGAGCAAAACCGGCCTTACACTAGATGCCGCTGTGGTCCTGCCTAACCAAGCTGGGAGGCAGGGCCTGGAAGAGTCAGGGTGTGTCCAAGGAACAAACTGCCTCCCAGAACAAAGCTCAAGAACATTTACGAGAAATCAAAAATATCCAGCACTCAACAAGGTAAAATTCACTATGTCTGGCATCCAATGAAAAAACCACCAGGCACACAAAGAAGCAGAAGAAGTTGACCAATAATAAGAAGGAACATCAACCAAATCTGTCCTGGGAATAACACAGACCATGTATGTATTAGACCAGGACATTAAAATAATTCTTATGCCTGTAGTTCATAAGTTCAGGAAACTAGAGGAAACAGTAGACATTTTGAGACAGAGAAAAGACCCAAATAGAATTTGTAGTGATGAAAATTACAATGTCTCAGATGAAAAATTCCCCAGACAAGCTTATTAGCAGATTCGATGTTACAGAAGCAGTAAACTTAAAATCATAACAATAGAAGCCGTCCAAGGGGAAAAGTCTGAAAAAGATTAAGAGTGTCACTGGGCTATGGGATGATTTCAAGCAGGCCCTTCCTTATACATGCAATTGTATCTGTCAACAAAGGGGAGGGAATAGAAAAAACATTGGAAGAAATAACGGTTGAAATTTTTTCCAAAATTACTGGGAACTGTAAGCCCACAGATGGCAAGAAGCTCAGTGAAATCCAAGCAGTGGAGATGCTGGAACTGTCATACATCGCTGATGGGACTGTCAAAGAGCACAGCTACTGTGGGAAACAGGCAGTTCCTCAAACGTTAAAGAGTTACCATGGGACCTAGCAATCCCATTCCAAGGTAACTATATACCCAAGGGTATTGAAAACCTGTATTCATACAAGAACGTGTATACAAACGTTCACAGCAGTATTATTCCTAATAGCCCGAAACGAGAAACAATCCAAATGCCCGTCCGCTGATGAATGGATTTAAAAAATGTGGTATATCCATATAATGGAATATTATTTAGCCATAACAAGGAACAAAATGCTGGCACATGCTACAACATGATGAACCTTGAAAACAATATGCTAAGTGAAAGAGACCAGTAATAAAGGACCACCCACATGCTATATGATTCTATTGGTATAAAATGTCCCACATAGACGAATCTGAGAGAAAGTAGGTTAGTGGTGTCCAGAGGCCAGGGGCCTGGGGCCCAGACAATGACTGCTAAAGGGCACAAGGTATCTTTTTGGGCTGATAACAATGTTCTGGAATTAGTGGTGAGGGTTGCGCATCCTTCAGGATACACTAAAAGCCACTTGATTGCACCCTTAAACCAGTGAATTCTACGTTATGGGAAGTATATCTCAATTAATAAAAGCTCAATAACAAGATAACAAACACCCCAATTTAAAAATCAACAAAATATGTGAATACGTCTCTAATAGATGTAAATGGCAAAGAAGATATGAAAATATACCCAACATCACAGTCATTAGGGAAATGAAGATTAAAACCACAATGAGAAGCCATTATACATCTGCTAGAATGTCTCAAATTAAAAAGACTACACACACAGACACACAAAGATGGTACCAAATATTGGCTAGAATGAGAAACAACTGGAACTCTCAAACACTGTAAAATAATTCAGTCACTTTGGAAGAGGTTGTCAATTTCATAAAAAGTTAAATTCATTTGCATTAAGATCCCCCAAGTATTTACCCAAGAGAAATGAAAGCATATGTCCACACAATGGCATCTACCTGAATGTTCCTAGCAGCTTTATCTGTAATAGCCAAGAACTGCAAACAATCCAAATGTCCATCAACAGGATGGTCACACTGCAGTATATAGCATTCGGGGGCGGCGGGGGGCATTAAGTATTGTCCACGCAACAACATGGATGAGTTGTAAAATAATTATGCTGAGTGAAGGATGCCAGGGAACGGATACATACTGTAAAGTTACCTTTCTATAAACATTTTTAAGTGCAAAATAAACTGTAAGTGACAGAAAGCAAATCAGAGATGGCCTGGAGGGCTGGCAGGGAGGGAGGGACAAGCAGGGGACACAGCGAGGAGACGCGGGAGCGCTGACTGTGTCCAACGTCCCCACGGCTGTCGAGAGCGAGTACACGGCGCCATCTACCAAACCGTGCCCCTTAAATACATGCGGTTTATTGTATGGCTAACAACTATACCTTGATAAAGCGTATTTACCAAAAAAAATATATACTACAATCTTTAAAAAAACGCAACATGTATAGATTTGGGTGATGCAGCTAAAGCAGTGCTTCGAGGGAAACGTACAACTTTGTTACATTAGAAAAGGTAATAATCAGTGGCCTATGATTGCACCTTAACAAGCTCGAAAAGGAAGAGCAAACACAAAGTTAATAGACAGGAATAATAAAGAGCAGAATAAAACAAAACATTTCAAAATAATATATTTCACACAAGGCAGCTCTCAGGGCAGCTACCCACGCGTAAACTTCAAGCGGCCGCACCACGCACCTCCATAAAGGACAGGGGCTGCGGCTCCAGCCATTCTTTCGAGCTCTTGAGCTCGGGGAGTTTGTCCGTTATCATATCATCACCGTCCGAGTTCTTCATTGTGGTCCCCAATAACAGAGGCCCTAGAAAAACTGAAACATGGCTCATGTAGTGATGAAGGTTCTCCGCCGCGTTCCCTTCCGATCAGTAAACCGTACGCGAGCGGACGCGGAGCAGGTCCTGATCCTCAGCCGGCCGATCGGCAAGGGGCGCGGCCGCCCGGGCCTGGCTGCGGGCCCTCAGCCGCGGCCCCACGTCCGGCAGGGCTTCCGGCGGCCCCGCACCGCGCGGGGCCCGACTCGCGGCCCGGGCCCCCGGGGCGGCGGCGGAGGCGGCAGGAGGCGAGCCCGCTCGGCCGGCGGCCTCAGAAGGTGAGAACGTTTCGCGTCTGTCCGGTGTCTCGGGGACGCCGGGGCAACGACAAGTCCGCGCGGCGCGGAAGCGGACGCAGGACACGGGGCTCCGCGGGGCGCTGTCCCCCTGCGCCCCCGGCGGCTGCGGTCCCGCGGCCCCGACGGGCGGAGGAGAAACCTGGAATCCTGAGGGGCGGCCTCGGGTGGGCAGGTCCCAGCCTGCGGACCGAGGCGGAGGCCTTCTCGGCGACCGGCAGCTGTCGCCGCCAGCGGCTGGCACGTCGCCCTCCCGGCGTCCAGGGACGGGCGGTTGCTCCGCACGCCCCCGCCGGCTCTGCGTTCCTGCCCCTCAGCCCGCCCGCAGGCCCCGCTGCGCCCGGCCCCGGCGCTGCCCCGAGCGCCCCGGGCCGCCTGAGCACCCGCAGCGCCGCTACGAACCCCCCTCCGTCGCCCCTACCCCGCTCCGGGGGGCCTACCGCTCCCCACCCCACCTGTGGGCCAAACCGCGGCGACCTGAGTGGCGGGAAAGGGACAAGTGTTTGTGGAGCTTGTCCTGGGGAGGACATGTTGACTGGTGCGGAAAATGGCACTTCAAGTAGCTTCCGAAAGCGTTGCGCGTCTCCAGGGGTGTGGATTAGTGTCCCGGCGCCGCTCGGCGGGAAGGGAGCCGGAGGACTGGCGACCAGCCTGCTGTCGTGTGGCCTGTTTACGGAGTCCGGTGGTTCTCCCGCCCAGATGGAGCTTGCTTTTTGGTTTCTTAATCCCATATGATTCCGATGCAAACCACTGACATCGCAAGAAAATTGTCAGCTGTGATTGTCCGAACTCACTGCGTATCCTGCTCTGTGTGGACTGCGATTTCCTGTGACTCCATGGTTCCATTTCGCCCTTGAGTTTTGGTGGACGCTGGGGGACCGACCGCCACGTCCACTGCCCATTTTTGCAGAGAACACATGCTGGTACTAGAACCGTCCAAAGCACCTCAGGGAGGTTTGTGCTCAGGGGCCGTTTGAAAGCCAGAGCGGCTCCCTTCACCGGCAGCCTTCGTCGGGGCTTGGGGAGCCCGAGCGGCCGCAGAACTTACCGTTCCGTTCACTCCCGGGCACCGAGCAGGTGCGCGGCGTGGCCCTCGCCCAGCGTGGCAGCGTCACCAGGGCTCAGTGTAAGAAAAGTAAGTTTGGGCATAGAGTTTGACAGTTTAAAAGCCAGTCTGGGCTTCAGAGTTTGAAACACATTTTTTTTTTTTTCCCTGTGAAGAGCCATAGTAAACATGTTAGGTTTCCAAGCCATACGGTTTGCGTCACAACTGCGGAACCGCTCTGCAGCTGTAACGCGAAGCAGCCATGGACAGCACAACGAAAGGCCGGGTATGGCTATCTTACAATAACACTTCATTTACCGACACTGAAATTTTAATCTCATGCAGTTTTCACACATCCCAAAATATTATTCTTCTGATTCCCTCCCCCACTACTTAAAAATATAAAGGCCATTCTTAGTCGCAGACATGCAAAAGCCAGTGGTGGGCCAAATGTGGCCAGCCTGCCATGGTTTGCTGCCTCCCAGGCTATTTGCCCTCTGCAGGCAATGCCCAGCGCTTGTGAATGGCTTGGCCAAGAACCCTCTGGAAGCCAGAAGAAAAGGACTGCATTTCAAGGAAAAGGACCACAATTGTGTCTGGGCAGATGATGATTCTCTTTATGCTACGGATGTGAGTATTGGAGATTTGAAGACAGCTGGGTAAAGACCCTAAGAAAAGAATTTGACCGCAACTTTCTGCATCTCTTCCAATCCAGTCTATCAAACAAACTAAGCCTGTTATTGCAACAGCAATGTTTGAGACAAGCGTTTCCTGCCAGGGGAGCGTATGTGAAAGGAAGTACTAACAGAGAGCCTGGTTTTGAGAAATGATTGTTCCAGAATCTATCAGCTAAACCTTGCCTGAACGGCCTCTCTCCACTATACTCCATCCTTCATATTCTACAACATCCTTAAAAAGAAAAAAAAAAAAGGTGATGAGGGATTGAGCACAAAAAGAAAAAGAACGAAGGGACATGGACAACAGTGTGGCTATTGCGGGGCTGGGGGTGGAGGTGGACGACGGTGTAGGTAGGGTACGTGGTAATGGAAAAAATACAGTAAATTTTTTTAAAAAAGAAAAAAATGATATCATCCCACGCTTAAAACGTCTCTTTCTGTTGCCTATAAGAAATTAAGGAAATGAAATCACATTTACTGGAAGCCCTATACTATAGATTAGGCACACCTTGTCCACATTGTAAACTAAGCAGCCTCATTTTACAGATGAGGAAACTGAGGCTAAGTAGGTTAAGTAACATCACCATAGTCATGCAGCAGGAAATGGAGGTGCTGGGACCCACCCCGGAGCCGTCCAACTCCAAAGCGCACCACCTTTCCCTTTGGGGTAGGGGTATATTACAGCCAACTGGGGAACGTTTTCAGAATACCCATGCTACTATTACAACAGTCTGAAAAATTCTGCGTACAGACAACTCATTTAGCGAACAGAGTGAAGAGTCCAAAAACAAATGTATGAATAGATGGAAATCAAGAAATGGTGAAAAATACAGCTGGAGCATAACTGCTGGTCCCGTGATGAGAACCAAGAGAATGGCATTCAGTTTTATTCTTATCCAGGAAAACACTGGTGTGGTTGTTGTGCAGACCCATCTGTATCTTCTGGTGGCAACTTACCCTGAGGGCTTGTCCCCCGCTGTCCGTGGGGAAGCCACAGAGAAGCTGGGTAAGTTTTTCTCCCGGTGCCTGTCTTTGTTCCCCATGGTAGTCGCGTCTTCTGACTACAGGTGATATGGAAAGCAGGAATTGATTGGAAGGATACTGAGGGTTCCCTCAGAGCCACGGGAAGGATGGAGTCTGGCTGAGCCACAGCGAAAGTGATTCCAGGAACTGGAACTCTGCCAGAGCTTTTCCCTCGTCTCCTCCTAAGAGGGTCAGGCTCGTTCAGCCCCCCTGAACAAATAGAAGCCCCACTTCTATTAAGACCCTGATTTGATCAGTCTCGGATCATATGGTTTACCCTTCTGTCATTTGGCTGGGTTGTGGGGTGGTGGTAAGGGAGGCAACGGGTTAAAAAAACGAGCGATGTGGCCTCTGGGGGCCACCTTGTCTAGAGAGACCATTGACAGAAAAGAAATTGTGATCCAGGTAGCCAGCTCATTGGCACCTCCTGCAATCTCCTGCCATGTCTAAACATTTTTGGACAAAAATCTAATATAGAACTGGGAGAGTTGAGCTTAATGAATGATCTAAATTGTGTTTGTGTTTAGATTTTTCATCTAAATTGAAATTTCTAAAAAAAATTTTGGAGTTGCTTAGACACTCCTTTGAAAGAGTAGAAGCCTCTGTTTCCTAGTAAGGAAGCAGCAATTCCTTCATTGTTTCATCAGATACTCAGTGGTGATCTACAATGTGCACTGCACTATCCTAATAAACTCGGAAATCACAGCCAGTCAAGATCTATCCTCTGCCTTCCATGCCTCCGTACATGCTGTCCTATCTTCCTGAAATGTCTTCCTTTTCTTTTTCTCCCCCCTCACATCCTAAGTTGGCACAGTCCTAAAAACTACTGAAGACCCAAGTCAGATCTTAAGCACCTCTCTACTGTGCTATGTATTTCATGCATCTTTACTATTACTGCCCTCATAATTCTTTGTTGGCCTAGACTGTGAGCCCCTAGAAGGCAAGAGTGTTGTAATCATTCTCCTTTCTCCAGTACCTAAGATGGTATCAGATGTTGAGTAGGCAATTCAAACATGTTTGATGAACAAATAAATGACTGACCACTGCCTACCAGAATCAGGGAAAGCTCCAGAGAACTGAATCTTAAATGATGGATTGAGGAATTAGGTACCATCACAGGAACTATATATTCTCTTTTAGGGTCTCACAATTTTATTACTCTCGTTGTCCTATTGTGTAGGCACATCACACAAAAAAATGGCCCTGAGAACGCTGACTGGTGTGGCTCAGCAGGCTGGCTGCCACCCTGCAAACAGAAAGCTCCCCAGTGTGGTTCCCCGTCAGCCACGTGCCACAGTCGGGGGTGTGCAAGGGGCAGCCAATCACTGTTCTACTCACACGATGTTTCTCTCCATCTCTTTCTCCCTCCTTTTGCTTCTCTCTAAAAGTAAATTAAATCTTTTAAAAAGTGGAAAATCATCACAGTCAATAGATGGAACAAACGTGATATACCTCAGAGGCTTTAGGAGGAAGAGTTTTAGGACATGCAATACGTTGCATCACTAACGAAGCCGTTTCACTGACGCGAACATGCTTCAGGGATGTTACATTAAAACTACGGGAAGAATCAAAACGTAATGGTCTGATACAAAACAGTAACCTCAATTCTAAAGAAGATATATTTTGCAGGTTGAGGTTCTTTTTTAAAGCTTTATTAGACACTATATATTCTTGCTTAGAGCCACAAACGACTCCAAAGAATGTGTACTAGTTAGAAGACAGCTGACACCACACTGCTACGACCCGCTGCTCTGGGAAGGGGGGGCCCCCCAGAAGCAGCTGGATGCCCCTGAAGGGCTAAGGCTCACAGCCACTCGGGAGCCAGTTACGTGTCTCACGACCTCTCGTCCCTTCACTTGTTTGTTTTTTTTAACTATATTTTTATCTAGCAGAAAATTATACATGATAATTATAGAAAATATGGGATGTAAATAATTATGACTATTTTTAAAAAATGTATGCCCTAGTCGGGTAGCTCAGTTGGTTAGAACATTGTCCCAATACCC